TTTGAATCAATCTGACTGGATGATCTGGTTGAACTGGAAAGTGACCTGAGATGACATGTGTTGTGAATTGGCGCTATATAAATAAACTGCATTGAATTGATTTGCTCACGCACAAAACCAGGCAATTTTCCTTTATAGATCATAGTCGTGTCTCAAGACTCCACCTCATGTTTGGCCTATTTAATATCAGTTCGCCATGGATTAAATAAAAAAAAAAAAAACAACAAAAAAAACAACGATTTGCAGAAGTAACTGCTCCGTAGTTGCATCATAATCTTTACCATCAGATCATTTGTGCAGGTCGCCATGCATTGCAATTCATTGAAAAAAGACCAAAACACCTTTTCTGAAAAGCAAGTAAACTTGTACCAAACTACAATATATAAAAGGTAAATAAAAAAGTTTTTTTTACGTCCTTTCTGTTATATCAGTTTTCTGTACCACATTTTGCCCAGTAATGGGATCCTGATCTACTTCCACAGCTATTTTTTTCAGCTTTAGATATGTAAATAACTCTAATTTGGATTTTTTTGTTTTGCTTTCATTGTTCTTTTATGGTAAGTAGCGCGTAATCTAAAGAAAGACACAACAAAATTACAGATAACGATGGCGTTATATTATTCCAGACTGCAGGAATACTGTACAAAATTAAATGTAAAGGCTTCTTATTTTCAACATCGGGTTATGATATTGGCCGCTTCTCAATTCACAAGAACGCGAGTACGGACTCGTGTCCTCGCCAGGTTTGTTCTTGAGAAGATCACAGGAAAGTCTGGACTTGTTAAGAACGGGAGCACGCAGCAGAAATATGGGTCAATTGGAACAGAAGCGTACTGATGACATCACCACACGCTCAGCTCGTCTGGAGCTGCAATTTATCTCCTGTTATTAATAATCTCTAGATATTAATAAATTCTAACTTTTTTCATTTAGTGGGGGAATAATATTTAACATTTTGCCAAATAAAACAAAAAAAACTCGCCATGAGAGCCAGCGGCCAGCTGTCAGTCTCAAGAACAGACAAGTCTGCTCTGATGCATGCTGGGTAAAGAGGGAGGGGTGAGAACAACATTTGTCCGTTCACGGTCTTGTGCTCTTGTGAGTTGGAACAGTACTAGGGCTGAGGCTGATGACGTTTCACTAGCACACGAGAACGCACAAGTACACATATTGAGAAACAGCCATTGTTTCGCCACAATTAGATTCATCACCTCATCTTTTACCCAACCACTAGAAACAGAAATGTAGTTCAATCCAACTGCAGGCAGATTGAAGAAGAAAATTAAAATGCTATTTTTTTATCTCATTTTTTTAAGTCAAGAAATGGAAAAGCATTTCTATGAATCAATTTTAAATAGATAATTGGGACACAACTGCTTCCATAGGAGAGAGGAAACATTTAAATATGTGCACAATTGACTTC